TACTTTTTGAATATTGAAATTATTAATATAGCCTTAATAAAATTCATTTATATATTACAAAAGTTGTTAATAGTATTTCAATAATTTTAGTTTTCATATTGCACTTTTAAAAATGTGGTGTAACCTAAAAAACATAAAATTCAATCTATGTAATAGAAAAATGACAATGTTAGCTCCTCATCTCTCATCATTTGAAAGTGAAGCCAAACATTTAATTTTTCAAGTTTTTTAATAGACATATAATAAATGTATATTTTTGTGATTAAGTTATGTAAAAAAGTAAAAATTTATTTTAATTTTATTAACAAATTAATTAAAATCATTTTGTGGAATTGGTGTTGAAATTAATATAACTTTTGTTTTTTTAACATTACTTAATGGATTTGTCTAACTTATAGGTTAAAGACATATATTAAGGATATATTAATTGTATTTTTTTGTAATTAATTTGTATATACAAAATAAAAATTAATTTTAAATTTATCAATTACTCAATTAAAATCATCTGAATGACATTAATGCTAAAAATAATGTCTTACTTTTATATCTTTAATAAAAATTCATTACAAAATAATATATTAAATATGTCTTAACCTAAAAAAAAACCCTTAAAGTCTTAACCTAAAAAAGCCCTTAAAAAAACCCTTACTTTTTGTTTTGAACAAATACAATTTGAGATAAGAGAATGGAGAATTGTAAGTGATAGTATCATAATTCAAATTTTGATTATTATTAAAATATTAAATACACCTATCAAGTGATTCATGAAAAATAATGCCTTACTTAATAACTTTTTTAGTTGTATTATTATAACATATAGCTCAGGAAAAATACAAAGTCAATTCATGGGTTTTTCCCCAATTACAATGTGCATAATATCCATCTAGAATTATTGATCATCCTCTGCATGTAGGGCTCTTTTTGCATGACTCTTCCCCAATCACAATGTGCATAATAGGATCAAGAACTTCCACCATCCAGAGTTCGTCATCCTCTGTGTGTTGGATGAAGAGATGAATTCTGGATGATTGAGGATGAACTTCCTCAAACTTTGAAGAAAAATAGGCCAACCACAATCGTACATTGAAAATTTAATGATTTTTTTTTCCCTAAAGAACAAGGACAGCAATCCGCCAATTTGTGAAGTTTGGTGATTTTTATTGGTATGAAAACTTTTCAAAATATTAAAATTATAGACGTGTGTAAAAATAAAATTTCTTACCTGTGTGTAAGTTGCCCAACTCTTGTGGAAATATAGGAAGATTTGACTATGAGATTTTTTGAAGAGCAACATCTGCACACAGCTTCTAATTGGTCCAGGATGCACTAATCATAAATTAAAAAAAATTAAGAAGACTAAATTTGGCACTTAGCCAATAATTAGAGATCAAATGCAAATAACTACCAACGATTTACGTAATTTAATAGTAATCTTTTTTCGTTAGAAAGAAGAGGTTTTAAGTTTGAATAGTATAGCATGCGGATAAAATGAAAAAAAAAATGAAAAATGATTAC